AAGAGCGAAACTCCGTCTCAAAAAAAAAAAAAAAAAAAGAAAATAGTTTCTACCTAACAGGACCCCTGAAAGGGTTTTAGGATCCCCTCAGGGTCTGCAGTCCAGGCTTTGAGGATTGCTGCTCTAGAGCCCAGCTGAGAAGGAGGAAAGAGATTCCTTCCTGAAGCTGATAAAGGGCAAGGCTTTGAGTCACCCAGTTACATAAAGCCTTCCACTGGTTTCACTTTTCAGTAATTTGTAGATTTACCTTCCTCAGCTCTAGCTGCTATAACCTGTGTCTTTTCCTCAGGTTTACTCATTTGTTTGGCATTCCTAAACTGTGCTCTACAAGAGCTACCTGTGACTTCACTAACCTTATATGGACCCACCCTTCTCACTAGGCTGTGTTCTTGACCTTCCTCTCTTAGTAGGACTTAAGAGATGTATTGTTCCTCCACCTTTCTTTAGGGACAGAGAGCTTGGGATTTATCTCATAAGAGAAAATGGATCTGATTCCTACACTCCCCTCTTTCTATTTGGTTCCAGGTAAGTCAGTTCTGTCTTCTAACATAACTGTTGGGGATTGAGGGAATCTCATCAGAGTTCTTGTGGACTATAGACTGAACCATTTCTGATGTCCTGAGTTCCCCCGGTGACCTAAGGAAACAACTCTTTGAAGGAGGAAAGGGAAACTGCATTTCCCAAGAGCCACACTCTCTTACAGTGTAGGAGAGTGATTTAATCAGTGGGTAATGAATTGCTTTCTCTAGAAATAGATACCGTGTCCAAGTTGGTCTGGGCCTGGTCCCTGGAGACTTGTTGTTGGTTTGCGACAACAGCAATAGATGTTCTAACATAGGCTACCAATCATTCACACTCCTTTAAGGAGGAAACTTGAGGGAAAATTACCCCGTAAAGATTGGAGGACAGAACTGTATAGGCAGTTTCTGAATGCTACATGAAGATGACAAAGTAGGATGTTCAGATTCCTGAGACTGGGTATTTGAGAAGGGGAGAGTCTGGAGCCAGGGCCATCAGTCAGGATGCTACCTTAGTAGTCCTGCGCTTAGTGTTAGAGCGTTAGAGACTGGGCTGAGGCAGCCATGCAAATAGAAAGGGATGTTTCAGGCCATTTTGTTAATCTGTACAACTCTCTGCAGTTCTTTATTCTTGACTCATCCCTTTATTCAAGTTTTTTTTTTTTTTAAGACGGGGTTTCACCAT